TGGTTTCTGGTTAACTGAAATGTTTTATAATATTTGTTTCTTAAGTTTTTAAGCTTTTTTAAATCTTTCGTGTACCAGGGTACTTTATACGATAATTTTTTCTTGACAGGTATATTTTCCAGGCAGAATTCATACATTGCCCTTTTAAAAATTGAAAAACGGTTAGCAGTACTTAAATCTGATAAAAGGGCATCCCAATCAATATTAAGCAGCAGATTATTCAAGTTGGAAAAATCACAGGTAGCAAATTTGAATGCGATTTTATCCATAAAGGCTGTACAAGTAGAAGAATATTCGTAAAAATCCAGGCTTATAACTAAGGAAACATGATGCTTATCACATGGGGTTATTGGGGATATACATTCATAAACACTATAATTAATATTATCGCTTACAAATATGAGATCTAGGATCCTATTTAGAGTATTAACAAATTTATTGATTTGCTTAAGGTTAAGGCTGAGAATACATTCAATAAAATAAGACTCATGGGCAGCACTTACATTGGATGGAGTGAGAACCGAATTAGAAAGAGTGTCAGTCCATTGGACATTGTGTAAGTTGAAATCCCCCAATATGCACAAATTACTATCTGATGGATCATTTAATGCGAGCGAGACAATATTATCCACATGCATTTTATATAGATCAAAGTTACTATTTGGTGGGATATAAGAAGTAATTAGATATAGGCATCTACATCTAAAAGGGTCTCTTAAGCGCACACACAGTTGGTCAAGCAAAGAATCGCCATTGTTGAGTGTAACCAAGTAGGCGCGAAATTTACGTCGAACAGCTATAAGGACACCTCCCCCTCTGCGGGAACCGGTCTTAGAAGGATCCCTGTCTTTACGAAAAACGTCGAACATATTAGGATCAAAGAACTCACTATCATGAAACTCCGAATGCAGCCAAGTTTCCACAATGACGAATATGTCATAGTCCATCTGGGCACTGAAGGAACTAACAATATTAGATTTCGTTCTTAAACCTGATATGTTCTGAAAATATATATTTAGACCAGAGGCCTTATCAGAGGGAGACTGGTGGCTTTTCTGACCAGTGAGATCATTAGTTTGAACACTTTCAATAACGGGCTGGGTGTCTTGGACCCCCGCTTTTGGAAAAAATGAAACGGCTTGATTCTTACATCCCTCGGCCACACTGAAGCATTAAGTACTACGTCATGATACATTGTAGGCACGCCAAGCTTAAAATTGATTCGCTTTAGAGTACTAGAGTTGTTTTTCTTTACTAGTTTGTAGCATAAGAGTTCCGCAGCATTGATGCCGGTATGTTTAGATACATACTTAGTAATATCTTCCTCAGTAACAGATGGCAAAAAAGATGACAGATGAAACCAAGAGTTAGGTATAGCAACGTTGAGATCGGTGTTAGTATTAGAACCAAATATGAGAGCTGACTTCTTATGTTTACGCCTTCCGACTTCAATCCACTCAGCATTATTCTCATCGATAATGGTATTCGCAGCTGCATTAGCTAACACACCAGCAACAGCAGAGGTCGCAGCAGAGTCAGCATCAACAAAGGCATCAACGTTTGGCAAATTGGAATGAGAGATATCCACACTTATTCAAGAATGATAAAATACAAGATTGCGCCAATCGAGCTAAGAGCAATTGGCCGTGACGTCAAAATATACCAGAATGAGAGAGCAAGACGAACTCGACAAGAAAAAGAAGAAGCATCGAACAAAAGGCAGTATTGCCAAGTTTTAAATTTGAAAAAGCACCAAATTTGTATTGGTGTATTTTATGGACTTTATATGAATACATAATTTTATTGTAAGGATTTCGATTCAAATTAATAAAAATCAATGTTTCTTGCACAACGGTCGATTTCGTCTGGCATGATTGAAGGTGCTGCACATATTTCATTGTCGCTTATGATTTTGTTTAATTTTTTGTAAAATTGCTTAGCACACTTACGATTGCTATAAATTTTGCTTCCACTTTTTTAAGATTTTCTCATTTGAAGTCTTCAAACTAAAAACCAAAGCACCAAAAACGCACCAAGCACAAGACTCAAAAATGTTCGCGTTTTGAATACCCACTAAATTTGGTGCGAAAAGCATTAAGCTGGCAACAGTGAATGTAAACAAAAGTATATTATGACGTCAACGATTGGGTGGATGCTGTCAAATCGACGAAGAGAGGGTTAGCGGTCCGCGAATGGCGCGACCTTTATTCTCTGGATCGTGACACCTATTTGATTGAGAATGGTACCGGTAAGCGAATTCGGTGATAACATTTCAGCATTAGTCCCATGCACAATGGCTACGTCGGCAGAGATGCCAGCATCGGCAGAAGGTTGGTGCAAGTTCTCAGCGTCAGTAACAGAAAGCTGAGGAGCATGCAAGCTCTTGGCACTTTGCTGCGTTTGCTTGGAATGATTACGCTGGCATTTTTTGAGACTGTTCGATGAATTAGAGTTGGTAATAGATGTTGTTTTCGTAGCTACTGCATTATTGAGAACAGCGCCAGCTAATACAGCAGCTCCACTGAGCGACGTAGGAGCATTAGAAGAACTAAATTGCTTCGTCTTATTCGCTGGTTCAGTGGTAGTAGTTTCTATGTTCGAAACAGCGGAGGCCGGTGACGAAGCAGCACGTGAGGAAGAATGCGAGACTGCAGGCAGAGCGCAAGCAATACGAAGAGTTTTTATCTCCGATGTAAGTAACCAAGAATGATAGAATTCAAGATTGCGCCAATGAGAGAGGATTTTTGAGCGTAATTTTTGCGTGACGTCATCTTTGTGCAATTGCGAGAGAGAAATGCCAAAACGCATATAAAAATATGTAAACAATGCAGAAAAATGTGTTAATTTTAATATTACATGGCCCAATTTTACAGGAATCAATAAATATACAAAGATTGATTAATTAGGAACACGTAGCAATAATTTTGGATATGTAGCCCTTTAGATAATGACGATTTTTAGCACATGAAAAAAATGGATTTATTAACAGTGTTTGCAAAGTGTGCAGCAAAGTGAATTTTTGTGTGTTGGTGTTGGTTGATTTTTCCGACAGGGTGGTAATGATTTATTTTGGAACGAATTTCCGTCATCCCTTGTCAAGTTTGGTTTGCAGATAAACCGGTTTCGGCGTTGTGCCATCTTCAGTGTCATTTTTCGTTCTGTCTGGTCCGAGATTTGTCCCTAATTTATGTTCATTTATCTTAGGTAATGTGATTTTCGTCGATGATTAATTACTAGATATGCCATGGTGCCCATTTTTTTGAAACAGGTAATAGGTTCATCTTCGCTGTTTCGATATTAACATCCATTATGTTGTCGCTGTATGGTTTTTGCCTGCAGGTAGGTAAAAGTCAGTGATTTTTGCCCTGGTGGTGCTTTTTGGTGTGTTCGGAGTGTCCATGCCTGTTGTTTTGTTGTCCTTTTTATTTTTTTCGCAAATCAATTTTATATATTCGAACCCTTAATCATCCAGGCAAAGTTTGCAAAAGAACGGCCAAGGCGAATTTATACAAGGTGGTGTTTACAGAACAAAAACAAAAATTACAACAACAAACTATACGCTCGTTGACAATTAGTACAAAGCCAAATTACAACAAACACATGATTTTGACAAAAGGTACAAATTCGCCGTGAAATCCGGATCCGATAACACCACCTTGTATAGATTCGCCTTGAGAACGGCTTGTCAGCCGAAAGTAGAAAGTCAAGATCAGCCGGCATAACACCAACACTGTCTAAATGAAAAAACGCCTTGCAATTCGCACATAGCACCTTTGGTTGGTTTCGATCAACCTTTTGACCGCACAAGCAAGGCATATTAATTATTAGAATTTAGACAATGAACAATTTTATTGTGAATAAATCACTATGTTAGGAGTCACATACTACGTTTATACGCATGCATAAGTCGCTTTAATTCATTTCGCCGCGATTCAAAACATATGTATAAACTGAATTTCAATTCGCTTTGAAAGAGCGAAGTGTTTTGGCTCACACTCCATTTCAAATC